GAAAGAGTGATGAGGAGAGAGAGAAAAATTTAGTGCACGGGTGCATTATATTACTGCGTGTGAAAGATTAATTCAATGGTTTCAAATAATAACATTAGCATTTATCCATTTAGATTTTGAAGTAGGTATGTTCAGATGCACATATTTCCAATATGAAATATTTTCCATCTTGGTTTTTAACCGTCAATTTCAATATAAAAAATGCCAATGTCCATGACCATATTGGTTATCACAAATCACAATAACAGTTGTCGATGGCATTATGCAACATATTCTAAACAACACATAATTGTTTAGCTCTTGACAATCAAACACACCGGGGCCAATATTAAGTTTAAAAACTTGGAAAGGCAAAATCTACATTCGATTGCAATATTTTGTATATAATTGGAAGAAAAAAATTGCAAAATAAAACTGAACTGTGGGTTACATGAGGGACTTAGTAAGTTACAAGTACAAATGTCTCCATGCAGCAGCTACAGGTTTATAGGATCTGCACTTTTTTCCTTTATACTCCACCAAACAACATCGATACACGAGGAATTTTCCAGTTGAATTAGCATATTTCTTTCATGAGTTTGCTGTAAAAGCAATAATTAATAATAAAGAATCAAAATAGAGTACACAGGGTGTTGGAGATAAACGACGCCCTTGTGGCTATGCACTGCCAGTAGGTGCCCAAACAGCCATATTAATGGGGCATCACTGCGAACAGACCAATATGATCTACAAATTTGAAAGGGACCATGGAGACAAGCCGCAAATGCAACAAATTCAACATGATTCTGCAGAAGATGCGTCTTGCAGTTAGAAGAGGATTGTGGGTGCGCGGGACAGTAATGAAGCAACGAAAATAATTCCAAAGAAGAATGCTACTAGCAACATAACATACTCATTTGGATACACTTTTTACTATTAGCTGAAATTTATAAAATTACAAATTTTTATAAGTCTCACTGCTTAATGAATGAATTTTAATCCATAATAATGAGTGTGCTAGAAAGAGCGTGCAAGAGTGTATGTCACTACCATTCCTTAAGAAAAGAATAATGTAAACAAAGAATAAAGCACAATGGAACTCGAATAATGGGGATGTATACATAGATAATGCGCTAGAATGTTGCAGCCTAGGTAAAAATGATTTGATAGAGGAGCATTGCGGAAGATGACTTTGACAACTACTGGTATTCTATGAAATTAAAAAGAGAAGAGAAACAAAAAACTCGCAACATTTAGCTTCTACAAAGAGGTACATACAAGGATATATGAGTGGATGAAACCAGGCAGTTTTAAACCTAACATCTAAAAAAGGAAGAGCGGAAATATTTGAGAGAAAGAATGGGATATGCATATACCAACTAGTAAAGGCCCAACATCCTTAGCTCTGTCACATGGCTGGGATCAAGTTCAGGCACATTCTTTACACGTTCTCGATCTTCTACCACATATTCCTAAAATTGAAAAGGTAAAGAACAAAGAGAAGAGTTGAATGCCTACAAAATTTCATTACAAAATAATTTGATACTCCTCATAGCATAAAAATCAATTTTAATCCTTAAATGATACAAGAACGAAAATTAAAATGATGTGTTCCCCTGAAAATGCATATCTTAAGACCAAAAGACTTATTTAATTGCAAATGCAATCATCTTACAAGTTTTACATAACATGCTTTGGTTTTCTGGAAATTGCAGGTCAAATTGATGTTAATTCAAAAATTAAATAGTGGACCTTAGTCAATTCTTGTTTGGCAAGAACATGATAGTGGCGTTCATTGATTCTCTGGCCACATATTATCGCTATGAAGAAGCCATAGAGCAAGCCCACCAAAACAATGGCTAGAACTGCAAGACAGAGAAATATAATAAAGTTCTCATCACATGTAATGAAGTTAGTAGATTAAGATAATATTACAGCATACATATATATCATTAAGTTTACCAACTAATTGACAAACTATAACATCCTAGCATGAAATGGTCACAAGTGAAAGAAAAAATTGCCCATGAAATTTCTTGTGGGGAAGCAATGGGTATACCAGCCATTGTATAAAATCCATACGGATGTTCTTCATAACCAAACATTTCTCTCAGTTCATCTCCATAAAATTTGTACACAAGCACTCCCAAGAAAGCAACAACCTGTTAAAAATATAAAAGGTAAAGTAACAGATAATCTTTCAAGTGTATTTTATAAAAATTTAAAAAACATAGTAATAGTGTCCCATCAAATAATATTTTTGGGTGGGTATGAATCTTCAAAGTCTATCAAATCAATCACAACCATGAAACTTGAGAACAAAATCCTGTTTCATTACTTCCTTTTACACTTTCACTCCATGCTGATTTGTTTTGGGTTAGGTGGGGTATTTAACATTAGAATCAATATATGCTTTCTACTATGACGCTTCACCCACAGTATCCAACCAGGCTATAGTTTCTGTGAAAGCTACCACAAAGAAGAATGATTTGTGATGTTGCTAAGATTATAAGATACTCTAGTCACTCACGTATTATCAAATTATTATGAATATGGAACTAAATGAACAACATGCTTGTTAGGTTACAAATTTTAAGCTTTTACATAATGTGCCATGTACGGCCATAGTATGGATAACACCTAAGGTTGTTAATTTGCTATTACACCAAACTAGGGAGCAGGGGCTGAGCTTCTTGTTTTGAGTGCCCTTGCACAAGGAATGGCTGCACACAGCACTAAAAAATAATTGGCTTTATTGAATTCTTGGCCAATTAGGTATCACAATTGTGAGATTTTGGTTATTTATAGTAAGTATCAATTGCAACAATCCGGTCATTTAAGTTTTCTCCCATTTACAATCAAAATTCTTCATGATTTCATCCAATAGTTAACGGAATTTGTTGAGATGGCAAACTGGACATGACATGACAATGAGTTAATATAATGAATCAGTCAAAAAACACATAATGTTTGAACTACAATGACCTAAAGCGGTACTCTGATTGTATTGATTTAATTGTCGTGTTAATGATACTTATGGGTAAATTATTGTTTTAAACCAACAATGAACAACAACTGAGATGTCTTTCCATTCTGGGCAAATCAATAGCTTAATATCCAACAAAATCAAGATGAGGGACTTGACAGTAAATGGGAGAAAATCTGAGGGACAAAATCTCATGATTCCGATATCTAAAGGACTAAAAAGTAAAAAATGCAAGCCAAAAAAAATTAAATACAATTTTTTCAAGGATTTGATGAGGGACGTGCTAAAGATATTCTATTACCTACGAGTGTTTCCTTCCTTACATCACCACTACTAATCAAGAAAACAAATTGAAGAGAGTTTCCATAATATGATTTGTTCCATCAGAGAGGAAAACTGTCAACTGAGATTTCTTCCTAGCATCATCACTGGTCACAACTAATTGCACAGTGCATTTTCATGTATATGAAATTATATCGACTCCTAGTATGGAAGCAATATCAATGACTGAGATACTTGAGAACAGCACAGGGGAATGATAACACAAATATATGTCAACCAGCAGAAAATGAAAAGGGTAAAATTAATGTCATCAGCAAGAGTTACAAGCACAAATTTCACAATACGTATATAAGACAACCAACCCCATACCAGTTGAACAATTATGAAAATGAATGCATGATCCCGAGCAACAAGGAACTGAAATTTTAGTCTCAACCACCACCGATCTGGTGGGACATTTGCACGTAATATGAAGACTGCTCTGCACTCTGTACAGTGAGAAAAGGCAAAGCCCTCCTAGTACAACAGAAGAAATGAAAAGTCAGCAAGTATTGCAGAATCATAAATACACTAGGCACGTTCACATGACAATGAAAGGAACATATAATAGATTGACACTAGATTTATAAGAGCAAATATATAGGTCCCCGCACTTGAATCATAGTCACATAATTCGTCATATGCCTTGTTGCGTGGTATAGGTAAGCGGTATGTGATCATACAAAGTATTAGTATGCTTCGCTATGTGATTAAGAAAAGTGTTGAACTACTATAAAAAATAAATGAGTGACTACTGACTTATCAATTTATAAAGATAAATAATTAAATATTATTGAAAGCAGCACTATACAACCTGCCTCTTTAAAAAGCACACTTCATTTTACTCTTTAATTTATAAAAATAAATAAATAATTTATTGAAAGTTGTACCAGACTACCACAACATAAAAAAGCATCTTTTCCTCTTCTTTATAACCTTCTAATCTCAAATACAACTCTCTCTTTAAATAGCACCCTCCCTTTCCTGTGCTGTGTTCACCGAACCCTATCGTCCTCTGACACTATCCTCCTCCAACCACTACTTTGTTCCCCTCTCTTCCTAACTCTAATTTGAAACTATCTTCCCGCGACATTCTTCATTTCAACCTTGAAACCTTAGATCACCGCTCCCACTCGACTCTCTTCAAGGCTTGAAGAAGAAGAGGCCCACTAACACCCTTACCACGCTCAATGTTTCTATAGATGTCGTCTCATTCTCACCTCTCAAAAACACAGACCTCATTGCTTTCACAAAGTCACAGAGAATTGGAGAGAACCAATTCGCAAAAGTACCGTGAATTGGTATGCAAGTACAAATTCGCGGTTCACTAGGGTGGGGAGCGAATTATGTGAATATAATTTAAATCAGATGTTAGTATTATAATGATGAAAAAGAAGAAAAAATAAATTTACCTTGGTGGATCTCCAATTATCGAGACATGATCTGTGGACGTACTTTTGCGTACCTTTGCAATGGCATGGTGCAATTAAATCTTCTCCTGAAAAATCATTTTAAAGGTTAGTAAGTTGCAGAGATTCAAATATATATGAGATGCAAGTTGGTTGTAAGCCAGTTAATATCTCATCCCAAGTTGTGAAATAATCCGAAAAAGGATATGAATAAGTGAAGTATTATGAGAAGTGGCGTGTATGGACCTCCAATATCGAGGCATATTCGGCATTGTGGCTGATCTGCATTTACAAGATGACAGGTCTCATCAACCCGGACGTTTTGTAAATCATCATCATCATCAGGATCATCATTGGGAGTAGCAGAAATAGGAATAATTTCACAGGAAAAGGAGGATTCTCCAGATGGTTGCAAATGAAGATGCTGATTCAAGATGGGTTCGCTTTCTGAACATTCTTCCTTGTCACCATTTGACGCTAATTGCATTTCGGGAAACGTATAATCAGGATTAAACAATGAGATTCATTGGCAGAAGTATAATTACTATAGACCATTTCAACAGAAGAAAGAAACCTGCAAATTGATGAGAAACAAATGGAGAGGAGATGGCAATAGAATTAGAATTTTGGAAAGTCGAAACATGGTAGTTAGTGTAAGTTGTTCTAAACCTAAGTCTTAAGACTAATTTAATCGATTAGGGTGGGAAATGGAAACAATAACATGGTATATATCTATCCAATTTGATGCCATGACGCTAACGCTATTGTATTGTTATGATAAGCAGCCATTAAAACAAGATCCAAGGAACGAGTAGAAGATGTGTATCGGTCTTAATTATTGCAATAATTAATAAGCAAAACGGCGGAGCTGACTTAATTCATTGATATGATTGCACAACACAAGACAAAGACAAGACTTACCTTACCTTAATAGAGAAAGACCTGCAACTGCAAGTGCAATCAAACCCCAATTTTGATCTCATTGATTAGATCAGAATCTGATGAATCGATATTCAAGTTTCAACTTCAACGAATGAATGAACACAATATCAACAAAACAAACAAACAAACAAACCCCAATCGCTTCTCTTCTGCTGTGTCTTTGCTATTTTGAAGTTTGGACCTTCCGAGCCCAACCATTGAATAGGCCCAAATCAAAATAACGCAGCCAAGGAATGGAATGTGTGGTCAGTGTTGGGGTCGGTCTTCACTTGTTGTTTATCTGTTTTCACAAGTACAGTTTACATTCTTTCTTTTTCTTTTTTACTCTTATAGATGATTAAAATGAATTTTCTCAATCATTTCTAACTACTTTTCTCATATTTTATTTTTATATATAGAGGTAAAAATGAGTTAGAAAAAAAAAGAATGAAAGAACAAAGAACTTTAAGAAAAAAATATTATTTAAGGTTTAATTTTTTTTAATCTATATAGTTTTATGAATTTTATCTTTCAAATTTTATAATTAAAATAATTTATTTAGATTCAATATATATATATGTAGTCCTTATAATTAATCATTGCATCACACTGTCTGTTTATGTGTCAATCACAATTATCGAATTAAATTTAATTGATAGCAGGACTTAAATTAGAGTAGATACAAATGAGAGAAAAATTGAAAACAAAAATATAGAGTGCTATTTTAGGTTGATTGGTTTGAAGAAAAAAAATGAAAGAAAAAATAAAGATAGATAATATTATAAAATTATTTAATTTAAATGGAAGAAGTGAAAACTATGATATAAACTATTATGTCCTTATATAACAAACTAACATGATGTGCATTTAATTGATTATAATTCATGTATAATCAATTAAATAGAAACGTAGGAGACATTATTTAATATTTAATTGATTGTAATTATTGTATAACTATAATTTTAACATCTACAAATGCATAGATAAAATTATTATATATAATATAATTAACATTTATAATCAATTATCTGTAAAAAAAATTATACTTGAATATGTAAATTATATTTAAAATAAGTATATATAAAAAATTTAAATATATAAATTATATTTTAGATTTATGATAATAATTTATATTGTAAAAAAATATTTATTGATAATTTATTTTAAAATACTAATATTTAATTAATAAATAGTTATGATAAATAAAAAATAAATTAAATAAAAGATTTTAAAAAAAAATTTCAAACCTTTTCGTTGAAAATTTTTCTTAAAAAAACACTTTTACATAAGATAAAATTTTGTATTTAATAATATATTGGAGTTCATCATTAAATTTATTTGACTAGTCGAAGGGAACGTTAATTCATTACTATATGCTTGTCTAATTGATTGAAATACTATTTTCAAAGTGTGATAGTAGCATTGGAGGGTGGTTTTAATGGATGAAAAAAACTGTGTAATCAATTAAATGTATGTTTCCTTTAGTGTTCTCTTGACGTTACAACAAATTTTTATGTCTAAATATTATATTTATGCAGAAATTATGATAAGTTAATGATGCGAAAAATTATGTCACAAAATTCAAACCAAATATATTGCTATTTCTAGAAAATGTTAATGAAAATATAAATTGATTGTGGTGCATGTTTTTCTGATTATGTATCATATGATTGATATCCAGATGAAAATAATTAAATTTAATAAATTATGAACTACATTTAATTAATTAATTAATTAAAACTACACTTAATCGATTATGATTTCCTTTGAATTTGTTTCCCTCGCTATAGAACTAGAACCAACAACACAACAAAACGACAGAGTTTTCAAGAAACAGTGCCAGAAGGGCAAAGCAACAACATGAATTTATTTTTTGAAGTGGTGTTTTGGTTCATGGGACAATAGTTTTCTTCGCTATTTCCACCTTTATTTGTGAATATTTTTTTGTTGTTGGCGCTGTTCAAATTTTATTTTTTTCCTCACTTTCTTTTCATAACCAAACAATCACTGGTTCTGCTTTTTAGAATGATAAAAAAAAATTGTTTTAATTTCTATATTATTTCTTATCACTCATATCAAATTCTCGGCTAAACGACCATTGTAAGACACTTTTAGAAACTATATATCAAAATGGGGCTGTTTTGAAACATATTACACCTTTGGGACTGTTTACACGTGGCTTTTTTTTTTTTTGGCTTGGTGGGCTGGACCACTGTCGCTATAGGCTGAAGCACCACACCTGATGGGCTAAAAAAAATTATATAGCCCATAGCGACACTAAGCAAAGAAAAAAAAAATACGAAATTAATAATAATGTAGAATAAATATAATAAACTGAAAGTTATTATTATATAATTATAAAAAGAAAACAAATTTTTATAAAAAAGTAATTTTAAATAAATAATATGTATTTTTTTAAACTAAAATAGCGCCCCAAATTTTTTTTTATTCGTTTTTAAATAATTTTTTATACATTATTTACTTCTTTTTTCAAATTTACATTATTTATTATTTGAATTATTTTATTCCCTTTTATCTGTTAATTTTTTATAAATTTGTAAACAATTTTTGTATTTATAAAATAATATATATAATTTCCTTAACTGGCGCTATGGGCCACAGCGCCTGAGTGGAGCTGTGGCCCACAACGCCCCAC